AATTATTTAGTTGCTATCTTCATACTGTACTTAAAGTGATGGTGTTTTACACATATTTTCTGAGAGCCAGTAAAAAAGAGAAAAAGTAAGCATATTTGCAAGAAAAAAAGGACAGATTGAATTTTGGTAGGTTGTAGTGGGGTGGAGGGAGAGAACAGATCATGGGGACAGTTGATGAAGGAAAGCGAGAAATAAAAAATGATGCTCAGTTTTCTGTTAATGGAGGTGCCATTTACTGACACAAGAAGAAAGATCACAAGTGTTGGGAGTGGGGATAAGATGATCTCCATTGTGCTCATGTTGTATTCATTGTACTTATAGGACATTCAAGAGACGAGATATGTATAGTGAGCAGATGAAGATTTGGATGTACAACTCTGAAGAAAATAGAGACTTATGAGTCACAAGCATATTGATAGGAATTTAATCTTTGGAATTGGGTGAGGTTGCCCAGCGAAAACTATATTGTGGGAAAAGGCCAGGATTTAGGGCACAACCCGTCGTGGCTGTGCAAGAGATGGGGAAACACAGAGGAGCCCGTAAAGCAAGCTGAGAAAGTTGGACCCAAGTTGCCGGAGGAAATGCAAGATAATGTTTATTTTCTCTATCGAGACTTCATAAATTACATGTTCTAGAACAGTGGTTTTTCCAACATTAAATGTGTATCAGAATCACCTGGGATGCTTGCTAAAAATTTGGTTCCTGGACTCACCCCCAGAGATCCTGCAGAGCAAGCGCAGAGTGGTAGCCATTTCTGAATTTTTAACATGCATCCAAGATGTTTCTAACATAGGCGTTTCTTGAGAAACACCTATGTACCTTGAGAAACACTTTTCTAGGAAATGGTTGGATAAGCAAGGCTTTGGAATCAGACTTACGTTAGGGTCCTGGCTTTTACCACTTACTGGTTGTGTGGCCATGAGCAAGTGGGTTATTTTTACGTTTGTTTTCCATCGATGCTGGGGATGTAATAAATACCTTCTCTCTCTTAAATTATTTCAAGGTAGTTATGAGCTATGCTACATTAAATTCCTGACATATAGAAGGAGCTCAGTAAATGTGAGTTGTCTTTTTGGCACTTAAAATACCCAGAACACAGGTGTAAACCTAAAAGCCAGTGAAAAAGTAGAAGGAAATAGCTATCATTAACCTTATGTGTTTTGTTTTGTAAGAGAGCAGAGCCAACTGCTTTTTACCTTGAACCTACTGAATTAGAATTGTATAAATTCAGTTACTGATTTAATAGATTTCATTATCTAGTTTCTCCTGGCAGCCTTCCGTTCTATAGACATTAAATTTGAATAGCATGATATAAGCAAGGTGAAAACGTGAAATAGAAGCTGAGAAAAATTTAGTAGAGGGACAGACACCTCAAAAATCCTGAGGGCATCAATCTGTTATAAAAACTAATACTCAGATTCATACTAGATTATCAAGAAAATGTTAAATTATGTTTAAAAGAATTGTTTGAGAAGTCAGGGAAGTATATATGTCAGAAAGATTTTCATTATAATTTTAGAGTTTGGGCACTTAAATAAGATTCTGCATTTGAGAAGTTCACTTAGATAAAAATATTTTATTAGTTGTTTACAGTTCTGGGTAAATGAACTTAGATAACCTTGTTTCTCATTTGGTTTCTCATTTTACCATTTTTAAAAAATCAAGTCAACAAGTGTCCTTGAAACTATCTCAGAATGCACTGCAGAACCAACCTATATGTTTTCTCCTTTCTCTCTGCCTAGAAGAGATGCTGACATGAAGGGAGAAGAGCAGAGTCTCATAGCCATATTCTGCCCATTTCATGTCTTGAGTGTCCTATCTCGCACTGGCTAATTGGAGATATGGCTACTTTATGGTTATGGATTTGCCAAAGCTATTGAGAAGGAATTATGAATTTCCTTCCTATTTCTTCAATCTTTCTGGTGTCATAATCCTACCCCAACTTGGATGTTTACATGATTATCCTCGAATACTCAACAATTAGCTGAATTTTTTGGTAGTGGTATTAGTTTCTTTTTATTACTTTTACTTGGTTAAACAACACTTTTTGTTTTGTAGATTTAGGTCCTTCTTTGGTGGAGTGAGTTTTTCTTCTGCTATATCTTTGATATTGGCACTGTTTTATTTGTTCTTTTTAAATTCTTTTTCCAGAACACCCATGCTTTTTTTTTGGTATTTTTGTCAGTCTTCCATCTACATCATATTCCTTTTGTTCCTCTTCACTCTTTTTTTTTCCGACTTACTGAGGGCATTTTTAAAGTACATCTGATCTGATTTTTCAACAATGTTCAAAATTTTTAACTTTTTTATCATATTAATACATCATTTGTTTTGCTGCTATATTTTCCATTCCTTATACAGTATTTTTCCATTATTTTAGCACCTCCATTCCAATTTCTACCTGTCTCAGCCATTTCTCTTTTTATTTTATGTTGCATTGTTTTCTTTTATCTCTTTCGGATCTTTTTATTTACCTTATAAAAGATGCAAAACAATTGTCTAACATTTATTTCCATTTCTCGTAGTTTGCTCCTGCTTTCTACATCTTGAGTGCTATGCTATGTTTTTGTATTACATAATATTTTTACGGCACCTGTGTTCATTTGCTTGCTTTTCCTCTTTTACTTACTCTTCGCTAAGGATGTACTATCCTTGTCTCTGTAATTTGGGATGTTTACCTCTAGACTGGATTAGTGGCTTATCTCTGGTTCATCTGACTAGAGGCCGCTCACGTCCTCCTCTTAGACTCTAGCAGAAGATCTGATTCATGGCCCCACAGCATATATCTGAAAATTTTGTCTAAAGTGGATGTGCTAGTCTAAAGACAGATTACCTAATTTGGCTGCCTGTTTTTAAATAATGTAGCACAGGAAGATACCCTGCACCCTGCAGCTCTTCCAAACTCAGTCTTTGTGGTACTGATTTTACATCGCCAGATGTAAACTCCCAATCCTATGTGTTTTTCATCCTTACTCATGTTACATGGGTAAGCATTTTAGACCCATAGTAGAGGTCGAAAGCATGGGCTGTAGATCAGATGAACCACATGAATGGAGCAACTGAGCCTTTGTACAGCAAGAGAGCCACTTGCTCCATCTGGTCCTTCAAATCCTGTTTTTCCTGGGAAGTTTAAGGAAATCTCTCAAAATTGTTCAGTAGGGCTTTGATATTTTGCTTCTGACTACTTCCGTATCTTGTAGTGAAATTAAATCCTTTTTGCAGTCTAGTAGATCATTGACTAATGTTTCTGGAGCACTTAAGGTTTGTATCGTGGTGTGTGTGTGTGTGTGTGTGTGTGTGTGTGTGTTTCAGTGAGAAGGTGGGAAAGGTCTGGTAAGGTGTTACTAGCTTTTGTTTCACCATACCTATAATTTTCCCTTGCTTAAGTGTTCAGTATAAAGTTGTTGAATGAGTGAATGAATGACTTAGTTTTCTTTGAGAATTTTAGAAGAACCAACTGTGCTTCACCATTTTAATACTTTTTCCCCTATTATTTTTCTAGTTAGGTATTTGGCAAAATGTGTTCCAGGAGTACCAGTTACATAAAATGTTCTGTGAAAAAGGGTTTCATGAACAAATAATTGTGGAAAATATTGTATACTGTATCTTTCTCATAGAAATTCAGTCAATATATAAACGTATTAGGGGCCTCTGGAAGGCCTGCACTAGCAAAACCTGTTTAACTTTATTTAATTCAGCATTTCCCACACTTACTTGATCATGGGAAATGCTGGTCTAGTTTTTATAGTTTTTCTGAACCTCATAGAGGTCATTGTAGACTTTTTCCACAAAGCAAACTTCAAATTTTTAAAATTTGAATTGTTTATTTAATCATCCAAAGAGATGTCAATTATGACTAAATATGATTAAAATGTCCGGATTTAAGCCAGGAATTGCTAAGTCAGATTTTTTTCTCATTTGATGTTTTGAACAAAATATGATCTTGGTGACCTTTTAAAAATGTATGTTACTTCAAGCATTACATCAGTATATTTAAGAAAAGGAGATAAATATTATTTCATGCATTGGGATGAGAGGGCACTTTACCCTTTAATATGGAAGCATTTCTGTATTTCTTCCGAGCTCAGTAAAAAAGACAGTTGTCCTTATGATTTTAATATTGTGTTACTCTAGGAAATAAACACAGTGTAACTGGGTGAAGGAGGAGAGCGGATTTTATTTTCAGTTTCAGAGTCTCACATCCTTTGTTGTATTCCTACTTCATCTTTAAAACAATATCTGACTAAAGCTCAATCACCTTTTCTCTTGACACTTATCATATGGGGTTCGAATGTGCATTACTGGTTTAATTGTTCACTGGCTGGTTAAGAAACTTACTTTTCTTTTGGTTTGGTTTTGGTAACTAATGTTTCTGCGCTTACTTTATCACTCCTCTTTATCCAGATACTTTGTTTTCCCTCCACATCTTTTAATAATTTTGGTTCATTCTGCGCTGCTTTTTAAATTTAGAGTTCGATTCATACCAATTTAAGATTTTTTTAAAAAAAAAAAAAAAGAAAAGTGTTTTTAGAGGCTTTGGAGGTGGTGGGGGTTGGAGGGTGGTGATGAGAAGAGAGAGCGGTACAAAAAGCCCAGTGAAGTTTCAACTAGGCAGGTTTTCCTACAGGCTTACTAAGTCTGAAAGAACCACAGATTTGTAGTGGGATTGTCTATCTAGCAACCCCTGAGTTCCAGTTCTTGAATTTTTCCTACATGAAAGTGTCTTATTTTGGTACATCTTTCTGAATAAGACCACTATCTGCAGACCAATTCCTCCAGTTCCCTAAAATGTCCTTTTTGAATCCAGTCATCCCAAATACTTCTATAATTTTAGAATTAAAAAGTTACATCTAGAAACATTATTTAAACATTATACTATGAAAATGATATGACCAAAAACTCCTCTTTCCAAGAACTGACAAAGAAAGTCTAACAGATAATCGACTAGGCATTTATACTCGCTGTAGTAAATGAAATTCCGACTTTCCTTTTATCAACAGACAAACAGCAGAAAGGTGAATTTGCAATAGATGGCTACAATGTCAGAATGAATAACACGCTTAGGAAGGATGGAAAGAAAGATTGCTGTTTTGAAGTCTCTGCTCCTGATAAACGTGTCTATCAGGTTAGAGTTTTTATGTTGTTTTGAAATTAAGTTGATAAAATGTTCTGATTTCATTTATAAAGACATTAACATTTTGTTAAAGCAGCTCTCCCTGACATGTTAATAATAAAGAGAACACTGGCTTTTATACATTGAACATTCATATACATTTTTTTAAAGTTCAGATTAGTTCAAGTGGTATCTTCTTGAACGAGAACAAGCGAATATATAATTTATCAGTTATTTCACATGTTGCATTTTATATCTATTTTAATAGAACCGTGTGATTTCTTAGAAGAATTACATAGCAGAAAGAGTAAAATTATCAAAAGAAAAATATCAGAATGTTAATGCATATTATATTGCTTAGGCTTGTGGGAGAGAATGAAAAAGGTAAAGGCACATATCAGCTCTGCAATTCAAGAGCTATCAGTTAGCATCAATATGGAATGTATGTTTAATAAGTTTTAAATATCTGAGATTGCAGTTGAAAGCCAGTTAATTAAGTTGTCAGGTAGTGTGTTGGAATCTGACAAGAACATTTTAAAGAAAACTGTACCCAGCAGTCTAAAGAAATTCATGGGTGTCTTCTAATTGTCAAGGGCAAATTTTGTTCATCAGTTCTGTCTTTGACATTGATGAAGAGAAGCAGCTTTTTTTCCTGCACAGCTGCCAGCTGCTGATCAGAGTTTCAAATCCATCATCCTCTGCTTCAATTACGTAAATTTGTCAAAATTAACTGTACATTATAAGAAGCATCCTTGCAAGAAAAGTAGTACTAGACATGAAAAGAATTACTAATGGTCTTAAAGAAACGATAAGAATGTGACATACCTTCCATTTCTGCTGTGGTAATTTTTCTTGTTATTGTTTGTTTTTTTATTAGTTCACAGCAGCTTCTCCCAAAGATGCTGAAGAATGGGTACAGCAGCTGAAATTTGTGTTACAAGGTAAGAGCAATCAATTGAACAAGTTATTGCAGTCTTTACTGAATAACTGAATGATTTAGATTTCCAACTATAAAAGCTTATTGAATTTCTATGAGAATGACCAAGGGAACATGACTGGTATTAATACAGACCATTGACTTCAGATATATAAAAGTATCTGTTGTATAAGTACCAATTAGCAACTTTGAAATCCACATATTATGCAATAATCAATCTTTAAAAATGTTTTAAGTTAAGGATATAGAATATAACAATGTCGTGACTTTGTAGGGCTGCAGTAATTTAGAAAATAGAGTTTTGAAAACCTCTTTGCATTCCTTAAGCATTTACTTCATGAAACATGTTTTGTAGATATGGGATCTGATATTATACCCGAGGAGGAGGATGAAAGAGGAGACCTGTATGATGATGTCGATCACCCTCTACCAATCAGCAGTTCACCAGCAGGCAGTCAACCAAATGATGAAATTTATGAAGAACTTCCAGGTATTTATTATCTGGTGATTCATTTAAGAATTTTAGGGTTTTTTTTTTTTTTTAATGTCATCAAGCTGACAACTTGAGTAGAAAATGTGCTATTAAGAACAAGGACAAAGAAAATTTTCAAAATTCTCTTTTACGAAAAGGGTTCTGCTTGAGGTATTTCGAGGAGTGGATATACACTTATGAGAATTGAATGGAATGTTAAAATGAAGCAGATACAGTCCTAATCTCATGGGACTTTTGGCTCATTAGCATTGTTTATGCTACATAATTTTTTAATTAAAAAATTGACTTGCCTTATAGTTTTTTTCACTAACTCACACGTCATTTTTTACTTATACATCTTGGAACTTCCATTAACCAGAAGTTCTACGAACACCCCATATGTCAGCAGCTTCTGCCTCATGTATTCCTCCTTGCAGTAGTATATGGTGTTCTGGAGGAATATTGTTGAACTATAAACAAAGGCCTTTTAAGGCTCGAAGTTTTCTTATTTGATATTTTATCATCAGTATGAATAAGTTATCTTATTCTACATTTTCAGGTGTGGTTTAATGTTTAAATGCCGTAATATCTGTTCATTGTCTATTAGCTATTTGACTTGTAGTTTTGAGGGTTAACCCAAAATATCTTAGGATACTTAGAATACAAAAATATTCAGGAATTATTGTATCGCTAACACCCTAGGTTGAAATGAACCTTTTTCTGGCAATTAAAAAATCAGCAGTTAGAGAAGAAAAAGGAATTATAAGCAATATAAGTGAGATTTAACTAACATATCAAGTAGAAGCTATTTTTCTCTGAATAGAACAATTTAACAATATAGTATAAACCTTTAAAATTGATTTAAAAAATACTTAACATGTTCCAAATTAATGCACACATGTTATTTTTAGTGAAGGTAGAGCATAATAACTAGCATTTGGACTTTACAGCTAAAAAGTTTAAATTCTGGCTGTACCATCTAGCTCAGTGACCTTAAAAGCCAATTTCTTCATCTCTAAAATGGGAATAATATCATGGGCGGTGGGAGGAATGAGGTAACGTATTTACAGTTTTTAGCACAGTGCTTGAATCATAGCAAGCCCACGATAAATCGAACATCATTATTGTTCTCATTGTAGCTGCTAAATTCTTGCAAGTGCTTAACATGAAGGTATAATGATAATTTTATCAATAAGGATTAATGATTCTTATGATATTACAAATTCAAGATATAAAAACTATTCAAGATATGTGTCTACATATTGTCTTTTACTACTCTCGAAGAAGATGATTAGTATAAAAGCATAATTTTGTGGGGAATAATAATCTGTTCTGTTATTTTAAGGAGCTATGTGTTTATAGCCCCTTCCTTTCTGATGTATCCTAAGGAAATGGCATCTGCCATAGCATCAGTTATTCTCAAGCAGGGAAGAATATTCTCTGACTGCTTGCTTTTAGTCACACCGTAACATGAGTACAATTATATTAGTTTTTAAAACGTTCATAGAGCTTGTGAGAATGTATACTCATGTCAAATGGAAGAGTATAGTAGCTTTCTTTAAATGTGATATTACTGTTATATACATTTCATTCCTTTAAAACCCTGCAGTGCATGAGTTGCATTACAATTGCGAATTAACTTTTTATTAAGTTCTGTGTTTCTTCAACTTGACCATTCTCTCCCCGCCTTTCCGAATAAATATTGGTAAGGAATAAAGATCCAACATTCGTAGTCATTTTCATAACAAAGACTCAAGGAAAATCTCCTGTAAGTAGCTCAAAATCTTAAAAATATAAAGCATCTTTTATTTTCTTTCACTACAGATGTTCTTCCTTATTCTCTCTCTCTCTCTCTCTCTCTCTTTTTTTTTTTTTTTGGCCTGGGCCATATAATTGTTGGAAATAACTGGTTACTCTTTAAGTAGTCTTCTTTCTTACTGTGGGACTGGAAGAAATCTAAACTGCTCTGGGACTCCTGGCCCCTGCCTGCGACCCCAGTTGCTGTGGAGAGGGATCGCGCTTGCTATAGAGCCTGCAGCTGTGCCCCGGGCAGGGAGCTGGCACAGGCCGCTGTGGTGCGTCTGGTTCTTCCTTCTTCCCCAGTGCGACCCAGACCCACTTCAACATCTGCACCGTTCAGGTTTGCCGGGTTCGAGGCAGCTACTACGGAGGGGATTTTTCTTAGTGAAAGCCATAAAGTCGTCTCTTAGAGCTTTTGTGTGATTAAACATCTAAAACTAGAAAGGTAACCTTTTTCCTTTTAGAAAAATGATCTTTCAGGAAAGAATTAAGCAAATTGCTTTCACTTCTGTGAAATAGGAATATAATTTTGAGAGGAGGTGAAAACAGTGGAAAAAGCAGTGAACACATTCTGAAACTGTTGGTATTTTTCCAGTTCTATACAAAGAACTGCATGTCTCAGAAATCTAGTTAAATTCCCCAAATAATTAATATTACCATTTCAACATAATTTTTGTCAATTACATGTAGTCGAAAACTAATCCTCTTGGTTGAAAGATGAAGCATCTAAATGTGTTTGAAGAAAAAACTAAGCATTCAGCATGTTACTTTAAATCACAGAGTTCTTTTTCTGAGATATTAAAGCTCTTACTCTAATAAATGTATTTTTAATGTAAAATAAACCTGCAGTGTTTAAGTCTCAAGAGCAAGAAGAAGAAAACATTGTTTAAAAACTCGTATTGCAAAATATCCCTTGAAAAATGTTTATAATTCTGTGGGAGTATAAGTAGTTTCATTGTAATTGTTTTTCAGTTAGAATATTCTAACTTTATTACAGCAGCTTCTCTTTAATTTCTTGTTCATTAATTTTTAACTAACTTCATAAAAGAATAAGAATGAATTTGTAAGATTTCTTTGCATTTAGGGGATTTATACATATGTACAGAAGAGTTGAGAGCGTGCCATTTCTGGGGAATATTAAAGATGTTTGGCTTTTCTGCAGATACCCAAATGCTTTGACGCCTTTTTTGTTAGCACCTATCAGCATAGGCCACTCAGGTTCGCTCACATTGCGATATTACTGTAGCATATTCGTGTTTGCACAACCAATATATTGATCAAAGTGTGTTAAACTGTTTCTTAACACAGCAATGAGTTCATTTGGCTTAGCATGAATTTCAGAAGTTATTGCTCATTTTTTTCATTAAAAATACAGAAGGCAGCTTTGTTCGATTTTGAATCTTAAAAGGGGAAAAGGATACTTGGGAAATTGCCACAGAACTCAACCCAGCTTGCTCTTCTCTTCTCCTTGTCACTTGCTTGCTTTTTGTTTTTAATGTCAGAAAATTATGCAGAAGCAACGACAACAAAAAGATTTTTCTAGATAGAGACTGACTAGAGTCAGCCCAGTAACAAGAATGGTAACTGCCCATTAGCCTATTAAATCTGTAGCTCTCAGGGGAACTACATTGAAATTCTTCTGGCAAGGGGACTAGAGGAGGGCCGCATAAAACAGGAAGACGAATTTCCAGTTCCATTAACCTATTTTTTTAAAGTCTTAATTCATTCTTTTTTTTTTTTCTTTTTTAGTGTAATGACAGATTAAACTATTCTGAGCCAGAAAAGGATGTTTTTATCTTTTGGTCATTCAATTGCATTTTAAATTTATTCAGTCTAGCTATCTATATAGAAAATGGAATATTAAGCAAAATGCAGCTGTAATTTTTTTCAATGAAACTGTTACATGCATAAAAATGAACAGTGTTGGGTACTTAGATTTGGAGTAGTCTCCAGCAAGTAGACACAAGTGCTAACTTAATAAGTGGTTACAACCCTCCCCCCATACATTTTCACTTTATTTTCTTGCTGAATGATTATCATTCATATTACCAAGTTAATATCAAGATTATAGGGCATCCTGGAGTCTCTGGTATTATAAGTGATGATAGGTTCTGGTTTCACCAAAGAATTTTTCTCCTTTTTTCTTTAGAATGCAATGTAAAGGTACCACTGGCTTGCACAGAACCACATATATTCAGTATTTTAACATTGTTAGTCCAGGCAGCCCATTGACATTCTTTTTTCTCAAACTATGGCACCAAATTATAAAATTATTAAGTGTGGTATGGTAAATACTTTCTCCCAAGTAAGTAACTAGGCTAGAGTCAATTTTTTCGTATGGTTTTAGCTCTGAACTCTGCTGAGAGTTATCTGAAGTTATAGAATATAAGGAAAACATTCACAAACATCTAATTGTTTATATATTTGTCTTTGCTGAATATAAATGTGATTTTAGTGTTCTTTATAGATTTGCCTATTTCATAATATGGCATGAAGCTTTTGGAATACAATTGTGCCTGTCATGTATCTTTTCTCTATTTTGCTGTTGATACTGCAAACGAATTCTTTTCATTACAAGAGATGGTTTAACACATATTAAAACCCCAAATACCTGTGCGCATGCGACAGATTTCCATTACTAGAAGGATAAACTAACCCATTTTGCAACTTGGAGCCACATCAGTTGTTCTAAACGAGGGGAGAAGTTGGCCTCCAGGCTACATTTAATGATTTAATGCCCAGAGACATTTTTGGTGGCCACAACTGGGGTGTGTGTGTGTGTGTGTGCGCGCGCGCGCGTTTTGTGTGTGTGTGTGTTATAGGCATCTAGTGCGTGTGTGTGTGTGTGTGCGCGCACGCGCGCGTGCGTTTTGTGTGTGTGTGTGTGTTATAGGCATCTAGTGTGTAGGGGCCAGGGATGCTGCTAAACATCATGTAATTCAAAGAATAGCCCCCCACAATAAAGAATTATACGACCTAAAGTGTCAGTAGTGCTGAGATCAAAAAACCATGGCACGAGGTTCTAATAGCAAGATTTTGGTTTACCACATTTTTATCTCTGTCTCCTGAGTTATAAAAACCCATATTCACACTATATGAGTGTTTATTTTTATGTACAGAACATAAGTTTTCTTACATATATAAAACTGGGATTATATAGAATGGTTCTAGGTCATAAGGGACCAGCTGGACTTGTCTGTCACTGTTTCTTTTAGGGG